TGAAATGTCAGTCCCACCTATTAAAATGTGTTTTCATATATTCAAATTGTCTCCCGTGGATCAAATCAGCTTTACTTGACAAATTAAACCAATTTAACCCTGTGGCCCTCAGAAAAAGGTGACAAGGACCACCTTTTTCCTGATTGTTCTGAAGTTCTTGCTGTTTGAAGGCAACTTTGAGAGGCCTCCTTGCTCCCATCAGCACTTTCCCCCTGCATGGATTGCTCCCCACTTGTCTGGGGAGGGCAGAGCACAGGGCAAAGCAGAAACGCTAATGTCTTCATCTCATACACCTCCAATTTTCAGAACTTGTACATGACATTCAGCCTCAAACATCACATTAGTTTGGGCCAGTATTGTTGAAACTGCTACTGGGATTGCCACCTTTGTTCAGCCAAAATACAGGACAGGTCAGCAGGGATGGGGAGGATGGAGGGGCAAAACAATTTTTTTTTTTACCTGGTTCTAAAATGACTCCAATGACACATGTGGTTTACAGTGCTCTGTTCAATGAAAAAAATAACAAAATGACTGATTTACAAGTGTAAGAAAAATATTGCAAATTATATGCATAGCTTTGTAATGCTATTTGGTTTGACCCAAACCTGGAAGGATCAGCACTCTATTTGACTTTCCATGAGTACTTTCTGTCACTTCACTCCTGAACTAAGCAATGGTTTGTTTGTATTCTAAGGGATGGTTTGTATTTCCTGTATCTTTTTCTTGTCTGCCAACCTTTTCTTTTTATTTGTGACTATGCATGTGCAGGAAAGGTGAAGTATGGGGGTGCCAGGGGGTCTGTGGGGGGTGAACCAGTCACCCCCACACAGGTGACACCAGCACAGCCCCTCTGTGTGCTGTGTGCTCCTTTCTGCCCACCAAGGGTTGCATCTGCCGGGCAGGCTGCCCGCTGTGCAGGCAGGCAGGTAGCTGAGTGCAGCCCCACTTTGCTCCAGTGGGGGTGGCGTCAGTCCAGCAGTGGTGGCAGCAAGGGCTGGACTGGTAGATCCCCCGTCCAACGTGTGCCTGCACACCCCAGGCACTGGCAATGCTGTGTTGCTGTACAAGTGTGTGTATGACCAGCGGTTGTAGTTCAGAATTATTCCTGGGTTCAATGATCTTTTATTTTCTAGCTGTCATCTACAGCAACAGACTACAAAACATAGCAATGTCTGGAAAAGAAGTGAATTGAAAAGATTTTCCATATTTGAACCATATTACGCTCCCATATCTTTTCTTTCTTTCCCACTTTTGGAGGCGGCAGATATTTTTTTCAGGCTCCATCCCTGGTGGCAGCCATTTTGTAACTGGCACCCTTGGCACCTTCTCAAAATTCCAAATGTGCCCCCAGTCCCATAGCCTTTTCCTCCATGGTTTGTCTAATCTTCGCTGTCACTATTTCTTAAGATTCAGAATTCTGAACCTTCCAACATTCAGCTTCATTGCATGTCAACAAGTTCTAGTGCTATGAGATAAGGAAGGAAACTTCCTTCATACCATGACTGTCATATCCCCTGAGCACAGGTAGGTCCATGGGAAAAAATTGCTCCAACAAAGATGGAGAGCAAACTGAACACTTTTAAGCCTCTGCTTCCCAACCACCTCTCTCAGGTCCTTGAAGGGTCAGTGCTCTGACCTGAAGACACACAGGCCTGCAACATTCCTCTTTCAGGCACGGAGCAGTGATATGCCTTTGGTTTCTCAGGGGAGGGCCCCAAAGGCCCCGGTGGCACAGAAGGTTTTTGGAGATCCTTACGTCTGTATTCGGACAGGTAAAGGCTCACATCTGAATAAAAAGTAGCCTTATGAACTCTACTTACCAATGTTTGAGTGCCAAAGGCCTGCTCCTTCCTTGTGTGCTCAGAAGCAGGCAACAGTTCTAAACTCCAGCATCAACCTGACAGGCCACAAAGGTTCTCAGAGATGCATGTATCCAAGCCCTTTTGAAGGCCTCCAGTGAAAGGTGTTATATAAGCACAAAGTGTTGTTATTGCTCTGCCAGAAGCAACTGATTTCCAAAATAAAAGATTTTGTGAACAGAGCAAATGCCCCATTTTCTGGCCTAGATCACTCCATTACCAAAAAAGAACAGGAAAAAAGTGAGATTTAAAAGCTAAATCTGAGATCTGCAATGTCAGTATCCAGAGACACTTTTGGCAATAGACCCATGTTCTCCCAATTAAAAACAACAAAAACTAAAGAAACAAGCTGGCTGTTTAGAGCTATTAAAGTATGCAGCTATTGGGAGCAAGCAATAAATTTAATATTGGAAAATACAGGAATGAAAATGGGATTAATTATTTACTGATCATGGGACAAACTTTGTGGGTGCTGTAAGTAGCAGTGTAATGGAAAATGTAGAGGTTCCCCATCCCTGCTTCTAACTCCTAGTTGTTTATCAATAGCAACAACAAAACATCCTTTCCCACCCAAAATATGATTCTGGAATGGGAATTTGTATGAAATAACACTCAGGTCAAGTCACTTCTGGTACTGAGAACCAATTCCTAGTATCAGAAGCTTCTCAGAGGCACTCTTTTTTTTGTTTTGTTCAACTTGTACATATAATCATAGAATCGTAGAGTTGGAAGGGACCCTGGGGGTCATCTAGTCCAACCCCCTGCAATGCAGGGATCTCAGCTAAAGCATCCATGTCAGGTGGCCATCCAACCTCTGCTTAAAAACCTCCAAGAACAAGAGTCTGCCACCTCCTGAGAGAGACCATTCCATTGTCAAACAGCTCTTTTGCACTTTGCTCTGGCTGGTGAATTTTATGGTTCTGAGGGGGAGCCTTAATTCTGCTCACTTCAATGCATCAGGCCAACTCCTCCTAGTTCTTGCTTTTTTAAGAAAAGAAAGGGGGGTATTTTTGCCTCTTTGTCTGGAAACCTGCATGCATTTCTGGCCCAAGCAAGTGAGCAAGGGTAGGATGGCAACTTGGTTGGGCTGAAGCCTCTGCCAAGGGGAAAAGAAAGAGGAGGAAGAAATAATGCCATGCACTTAAAGTGCACCATATTTTCATGCTGATTAAGAGCTGCACTCCAGGAGGTAATGCGCAGGAGATAGTGGCAGCTCTTGTTTGAACAAGGAGAGTACTTAGTGCTATTCTGCTCCTATTCAGCCCCAGAGACATATCACTGCTGATGTCTCTCTGGGTCTAGATTGCAGCTCAAGTAATCCTTTTGCAGACAGAAAGGAAACTGGTATTTTGTACCCTGAAAAGCATGGTAGTGGCTGGAGGAGGAGAGGTGTGCAGAGGCCAGAGAAAGAGCTATGAGTGGAGGGGTGTCCCATTTGCTATCTCCTTGGAGCCGCTGAGAAACCAAACTGAACCTTCTGCAGCCTAGACCTGGCTCCATGTGTAATATAATAATATAATATAATATAATATAATATAATATAATATAATATAATATAATATAATATAATATAATATAATATAATTGCTGTTTTATTGAGGGAAGGAGCAAACAGAATTTATTTGGGGTTTGCAAAATAAACCCCGACTGAAGCCTGTAAAAAGGAGAAACTTTCTCTCTGCAAGGCCTGCAGTTCACGAAGGGGTGAAAAGTTTACTTTGACTGGACTGTGACCGACTGAAGACTCAGCAGTTGGCAAGGTTTAGCTGCAAGGAAGCAACATTTGGAGTTTGTAAGAATGCTACAGGAAGGGACTAATGAGGATTTGTATGTTTTGCTTGCCAAACAGTATCTCAGCTTTGGAATGCATTAATCTGGACAGTAATTGACATGTCCAGCCTGTTTGTGTTGTTTGAAGTACCTTATCAAGGAAGTAGAATGTCATGTCAACCTTCCTGACAGACAGAAAATCCTGTACAGTGATACCTCAGGTTAAGAATTTAATTTGTTCTGGAGGTCCGTTCTTAACCTGATACTGTTCTTAACCTGAGGTACTACTTTAGCTAATGGGGCCTCCTGCTGCCACCGTGCGATTTCTGTTCTCATCCTGAAGCAAAGTTCTTAACCCGAGGTACTATTTCTGGGTTAGCGGAGTCTGTAACCTGAAATGTCTGTAACCTGAAGCGTCTGTAACCTGAGGTACCACTTTACATCCTATCTGTAACATGTCAAATGTCTCATACATCATGTCAGTTTCTTGGCTAACAGAACGTCCTGCTTCATAAATCAAGTCAGAGTTCTGGACTACAATACAATATTTGAACATGGCTATCATATCACCCCTTAACCTCCTCTTCTCCAGGCTAAACATGCCCAGCTCCCTTAGCCATTCCTCATAAGGCATCGTTTCCAGGCCTTTGACCATTTTGGTTGCCCTCCTCTGGACACGTTCCAGTTTGTCAGTGTCCTTCTTGAACTGTGGTGCCCAGAACTAGACACAGTACTCCAGGTGAGGTCTGACCAGAGCAGAATACAGCGGCACTATTACTTCCCTTGATCTAGATACTACTATTGATGCAGCCCAGAATTGCATTGGCTTTTTTAGCTGCCGCGTCACACTGTTGGCTCATGTCAAGTTTGTGGTCAACCAAGACTCCTGGATCCTTTTCACATGTACTGCTCTCAAGCCAGGTGTCACCCATCTTGTATTTGTGCCTCTCATTTTTTTTGCCCAAGTTCATACATCATGCAGATTTGCTTTCTGAAAAACCTATGGTATATAAGTTTTATCTGAACTGAGATCAATACTCCAGTCTGTAAAGGCATTTCCTCGAACCCCTGCTTTGTCTTTGTTTGACTGAAAACACCTGCTACATTATGATTCAGCAAACCATCCCTGAAGAAGAATTAATTACTAATGAATCTAATTATCCATGGATTACAACTATTAATGGAATGCAAGAGGGAAATAACAAGAACTTCATAATTTTTTATGGATCATTTGAACAAATAGACTGTGTGAAAATGTTGTGAGGATTGGTGGCATTACCTTCTAAAGAGGGCACTAACTTTGATTTATTATGGTTATGGTTTTGGCAAGACACCAGCCTGTTAGTAGATTGGAAAGGTTGAAAGAAGAAAATGCTGGAAGTCTTCCCAAAGCCATGGTCAGATGCCAGTTCACTTTCAGTTTGGAAAGGCAAGATGGCGTGAAGCTGTGGCATAATTGAGAATTCTGCCCTTGAAGGGGGGGCATGAGGCTGAAGATGATTGATTGATTACAACATGAAGAGAAGGACCAATATGAACAAATATTTCACACAGTAAGTTACAGGATATAAACTCCGCTTGCAAATTAATGGATTTGGAATAGCTAAATACAAACGAAAGTCATCACACCAGTGACTGTTAAAATAAAGAATTAAGATCAGAACTGTGGTACTTGGATTAACTAAGAGAACTGGAGCAGGACCAAGGAATAACATCATCATCTCCTGATAATCAGAACACGGGAAGTCACCCCAAATTGTTTTATTCGGAACTGGATAATTGGCTCTTCTAATTGTATTGTGATTTGGTATTGTATTAATGTGGCTTATATTGGATTGCTATTAATGAAGAATTAATAAAAAATTATTTAACAAATAAAACTGTCTCCATGTGGGGTGCAACTGAACTGTTGGGAAAAGCCACTTCCGACATAAGGAGGAGGTGGTGTTGGGGGCTCACGCCCCCAACACACACGCGGAGGCTGGCTTCAGCCCCCGCGCGAACAGGGGAATCTTCGGGGCCGCGTCATCCCCTGAGCCAGCCAATCAGCTGGCTCTGGGGGCATGGCTTGCCTCATTTAAGGCAAGTACGGCCCCGGGATCTCCCTCTTTGGGTCTGCTCAGCTGGTAAGGTTTTCCCACCTGCCCACCCTCTAAGGTTCCCCTTTCGACCTTGCTATGGACCTTGGTTGGTTGCCATTAAGGGGCCTGGTAGGAAATTTTTCCACTTGGCAAATTAGCACAGGCCATTTGGTTTTTCACCTACCTCGTAGCAAATTGTCACAACTCACTTGGTCTTGGCGATTAGGCATTGGTAGGGGTACTGTTGGGGGGGGAGGAGTGCCATCACCTCCCCCAAATATTGAAGAGTAGTCCGGTAAAGGATTCCGGGGGGCATGGCCTCATCCGAAGCCTATGGAGGCCAGGGTCTAAAGTGCGCCCCCAAGCGGTGACCCTGGGGGAGTCCCTAGTTGATGTGCATCAGCAGGGCTCCCCCTGCTGGTGTTAACCCTTCCCGGTCTTCAAGCAAGCAGACTGAAGCCGGGTAGTCTGATAGGACCAATGCCTAAGCCAATACCACTCTTTACCTGTAACCAATAAAGTTGTGGCCTAATTTCGCCCATTAACCTTAAATATCTGTGTCACGTGTCTTTATTTCTACTGGTGGGAGGTGGGAACTCACCATGCAACTGAGGAAGCTGCATCCACTTGGGTACCAGTCCATTAAAAACAAACCTATGTAGGTGATGTCAGCAGGTTTCAGGAACTTCCTTCATTGTGAGATTTGGGGGGTGATTTGTGAGTTTGTTTGGGCCCTCAGTGAGAGCCAGCATGGAGGCATGGAGTCCTGAAAGCCAGGATGCTGAGGGGTGCTGAGTGGAGAGACACTTAAGCAGTAGAAGGAAATGTTATATACAGATTGATTTATTAGTAATTTGTGTTAAATGTTTTATTTTTTTTGTAACATTCATTATTTTGGTTGTCTATTGTTGATTTAGTTTTCTGTACTCCACTTAGAGATGTAGAAATTATCTTAATAAATAAAATAAAAAGTAAGGTTTTTCCAGTCCATTTGGAAATGTTGGGGTTTTTTGGGACTCCAGTTTTGTCTCTGCCCACCAGAACCATGTGGCCCCTGGAAGGCTGCTCAGAAAGGAATATGGTCCTTCAGGTGAAAAAGGTTCCCCATCCCTAACACAATTCATTATTTAAACCATTAGTTGTGATAATACTGTTACATGCTACCCATCCCCCTGAGCAGTGAGGGTGTTGCTTGCTGCTGAGTTTTGATTTCATGGAGTGAGAAAACAGTGGAGACTTGTGGTATAATATCTGGTTTATGTACAATCAGAGGTGCAGAGCACCGTGGAAGCAAGTAGACATCTATGGCAGGTAGCAAAATAACTGTTTCGGCAAGCAAGCAGCACTGGGCTTTATATTGTCAAAACCAACTCCAGCAGAAAATTCTGCCTCTGTCTGCATCTCTCTGTCTCTGTCCAAATTCATAGTTGTCACTTTCCCTCTGGGTTGGACCAATCCCCCCCTCCCTCCAGTTTTGTGAAAATAGTCTCCCTGTGGAAATGTGTGTGTTATCTTGCTATTTTCTACTGCTTTTTGGAGGTGAGAGAAATTTCCCCAAAGATTTTGGGAGGCAGTTATTGCTGAACTTACAGGTCTCCCCAGAAGGTGTGACCAAAAAGATGCTGCAGAGAGAGCCTCACATTACTAACTGCATTTATTGGGATACCTTGGGAGCAACATAATGTGGCATCACTCAAGGGATGCAAGAAGGTGTCATTTTCCATCCCACCTTGTGTCACATGAAGCACTGTTTCCATTCCACTGTCCTTTGTTTTCTGCCAAAAACAACATTATTTGTCTCACTGTCTGCTGTGACAAAATTGCACATATTATATTGGCATTCCACCCCATTAATTTCAATGCAAATGATGCAATCCAGTGTGGGGGGGGGGATCAATTACATATCATTTGTGGAATGAAAACAGCAGCTGGATTGATTCCCATTCTGGACATGGGATGAAGAAACCATTTCTACTCCCTTTTCCGTTTTTGGTAATGTTCTCCCACATCCCTACATCAGTCCCCAAGGTGTTCCATGAAGTGTGACCTATGGGAAGCTGCAGAGAGAACATTCATTATCCCGTGAGAAGCTTTTTCAAAAGTTGAAATAGCAAGGGAGGAAAACAGAAGCCTTAGCCACCTCCTACAGTTAAGTCAGGATAACAGCATTCTCCCCCCTCCTCAAAAAATAAATAAATCTGGAGGGTTTCATTGCATTCTTGTTCATTTCACAAACGGTCAAAAAAGAAATTTCAAAATGTTCACACAGCTCTGTTTTTACAAACTGGACAGAGATGCCAGACCATTAAGGAATATTAACATTCCTTTGTTAAGTAGCTGACCAGACAAGAGTTTGTCAGGTGATATCATTCCAGTATGTAAATTCATGCTAATAAACGCAGCCAAATTTCTAATAATAACATGTATTATAATGCAGTGTCCAAAATGAATTTTCTGAGCATGTGCAAATGGACACTATTCCCTGCTTTTCAGACCTATATGCAAGTGAATGGTGACAATCACATTTTAGGTGACTGTCAACATTTACTTCTGAATCTTGTCAGTTTTTAGACATTTACAAAATTTGTCTGGGATTGTCACCAAATTTCAGGCATTCACTGTAACATATGTTAAACTGATAATGGCTGCAGAACCATCTGTTGCAGCAATGGGGAGACATAATGTAAGATTATACATTTTGGGAATCATCAGTCACAACTGAGCACCATTAAGCTTCAATGGAAGGATTTAAGTATGAGAGCAGTGGGGTATAAAACTCGGGATGTGCGCTGTGTTTGGTCAAATCATGAACCAAATCAGGTCAATTTTTTGTCATATACAGATCAATCTGAAGATCCTAAAAATTAGCAAAGGGCAGATTGGCTTGTTCTGAATGTATTTGCAGAGGTTTGTGCAGATCTGTAGCTCAAAATAGCCGCTCAGAAAGCCAGACAAAGAGTGTGTTCAAAATGTTGCCATAATTCACTGTGAGTATAACACAGTGCAACTAATTCTGATGCATTCTGTCCACAGGTCTTAAGCGGAGCTATACCTGTAACATCTGCAATGTCACTCTAAACTCCATAGAACAGTATCACGCGCACCTGAAGGGGTCCAAACATCAGACCAAGTGAGTAACCCTTTGTTGGCTGGCTGGCTGGGTGTGACATTTTGGTGAGTAAGTCTGAGAGAGGGGGCATAAGGGCACTGCCCCCCCCCATCTTCAATCAGATCTATTTTGGAAATTAGGGTTGTGCCCTTGACTTTTGAGAATCATCATAATGGAGAGACAGGCATGGAGGAAAGTTTTTGGATTGCATTCTCAAATACAGGAAACCTAAGATGGGTTTTCCTAGCAAGAGAGAGATTTAGACATTTAAAAACAGGAAAGTAGACAGCTGCGCAAGTTGGCTTCCACTGCATTTAGAGATTTGAACCCAAGGGAAATCTGGGAACAAAACAAAAGCATACATTTTTGAGAGTATCTCAAAACATGCTGGGAACCAATTTCCTTGTTTACCTGTCATTCCACTTTTCACTTTTCCTGTAGTTCTATTTTGATCCTCTCTCTTGCGTGAGTGAGAGAGGTTTCGAACTGCTACATGGTGTAGCTCTCCTGGAATCACTTCAGAATGTAGCAGAAGGAGCCATGTACTTGGAAGCTTTCTTTCTTCATAATGCCAGGCACATGGGAGAGAAGGTTAAGGCTGAGTCTTTCTTCTTGACATGCTAACTTGTCACAGACAGAAAGGCTGTGGGAAGGGTTGTTGCCAAAACATTAGAGCTATGTGTAAGCAGCATCTCAAATGTTATCCACCCTGTTGGTGTCAGAGAAATCAGGAGGATCATTTCACTAAATTTCTCCAGGGGAAGAGAAATACTCTAGCAGTTGCTCAGAGGTGGAGTTCACCATTAGAAAATGCCATAGCACAGCTTCTTTTTAATATAAGGTTTTCTTTTTAAGAGCACAAGCTTCATTTGTCCAGTGAGTTTCTGGGCCCAATTCAAGTCATTAGTAAAGGTAAAGGTAAAGGTAAAGGGACCCCTGACCATTAGATCCAGTCGTGACTGACTGGGGTTGCGGCACTCACCTTGCTTTATTAGCCGAGGGAGCCGGCATACAGCTTCCGGGTCATGTGGCCAGTATGACTAAGCCGCTTCTGGCGAACCAGAGCAGCGCACGGAAATGCTGTTTACCTTCCCGCCGGAGGGCAAGTATTTATCTACTTGCACTTTGACGTGCTTTCGAACTGCTAGGTTCACCCTGTCGCGGGATTCGAACCACCGACCTTCTGATCAGCAAGTCCTAGGCTCTGTGGTTTAACCCACAGCGCCACCCGCGTCCCAAGTCATTACTACTTGCATGCAAACTCCAAAATAGCTTGGAATCCAGGTACCTAAAAGATTGCCTCCCCCAGTATCAACCATCTTGGACCGTATGGCCGGCAGATGAGCCCCTGTTGGCAGTCGTGTCACTTGGGACTCAGCTATACAGCTGCAAATAAAACGTTTTAAGTGTGTTTTAAGTGCGATATATATTGTGACACTAGATGGCCTTATGGAAAATTCAATGTATTTTTTAAAAACGCTTTTTAAAAAGCATTTTCAGAATAGTTTTTATATGTGTGTAGATTCCACCTTAGTGTTGTCCGGTTGGTGCTGACCCATGAATGGGCCTTAGGGTTCTTAGTGGTCCCCTGATTATGGAGCGCCCCTCATGGTGAGGTACATCTGTCCCTTCATTATTAGCATTCAGGGGCATTTATAAATGTCCTTGATGGTTGTTCATTTGATGGCTAAAATATGCAATTTCTGGCAACCTGTTTCCAAAGATTAGGCCATTCTTAAATGTTTTTAAATGTTTTGATTTAGTTTATTTTTACTGAAATGATGATGATCCAGTGCTAAAGTTTGAGTTTCCCCTGGGGGAAAGAGGCAGGTCAAATGGAGGTGTGTATAAGCCCTCAGTGCTACTCTGGTTTTAATTTCAGTTGGAAATTTGGATTACCAAATACCTGGTGGAAAGCCATACATGTGCTATATACTTTTATTGTTCATTTATTTATTTTTCTCTGTTGTTAAAACCCTGCAATTGTGCAATGATGAAATTTGGGCTCGTCCCCTAAGCTTGTTTGTGTGTACAGGTATCAGGAGATGGAAATTTCTATGGTCTGTTTGGCACTTCATGAAAACTTAAAGAGAACTTTGAAATAACAGTTTTATGTTCTCCCCACCCCCCACCCCATAATTTGTAAAATCCCACTATTTCACTGTTTCATCAGTTGACCATTTTAAGTCAGCCCCCGTGGGTTTTTTAGGGAGCATGAAGCAGGTGCTCCCAGCATGGCCTGGACTGCCATGGCAGGATCCTTCACCCTCCACACCCCACACCCTGGCACATGCACACACCCCAGACACACGTTCCCACTCCGAGTGCCGTGAGTTGACGCAACACCACTGAGCTCCACTTCTGCTTAAGGTTTCTCACTTTGCCTTTGGCAAAGGAAAACATCACATGCACCAATAATCTTCCCTTTCTGCTCTCTTGCAAAGAAAGAACCTTTCTTTTCTTAACATGTTCTATATTTTTTCACTTGCAATTTCCTCTGCACACCTCACCTTTCCTCAGCATCTATGAATATGAAAGGCCTTGACTAGATCCCCCTCACTGCATTTTTATTCCTTCCATTCTTCAGACAATGCAAACGATTTCTCTCTCAGCTTTTTTGCCTCTGAGCCAAAGCAGCAGTGACTGTTCTGTTAAGAGGAAGTTGACCTTCACTTCAAAGAGATTTATAAAAAGTTAGCCTACCTTAAATTGGATTTCTGGACATGAATGTGGACAGGGTTTAAAAAATGAAGAAATCTGAGCTATTATGACCCCCTTCCCTAGCCACTACACTGGTTACATAATTTGTTCTGGAGGTCCGTTCTTAACCTGAAACTGTTCTTAACCTGAAGCACCACTTTAGCTAATGGGGCCTCCCACTGCTGCTGCGCCACCACCGCACGATTTCTGTTCTCATCCTGAAGCAAAGTTCTTAACCCGAGGTACTATTTCTGGGTTAGCGGAGTCTGTAACCTGAAGCGTATGTAACCCGAGGTACCACTGTATCTGCCTGCTGGTTGTGGAGAAGGGGCAATATGAAGAAAGCACCTGATGTTGTAGAAGGTGGTCCTTCCAGTGTCTGGACCCCAAGCTGTTGGGGGCTTAATTGACGTAATCACCAGCACTTTGATTTGTGCCCGGAAACAGACCTCGACCATTATTTTGTTGTTGTTTAGTCGTGTCCGACTCTTCATGACCCCATGGACCAGAGCACGCCAGGCACTCCTGTCATACACTGCCTCCCACAGTTTGGTCAGACTCATGTTCGTAGCTTCGAGAACACTGTCCAACCATCTCGTTCTCCTTGTGCCCTCAGTCTTTCCCAACATCAGGGTCTTTTCAAGGGAGTCTTCTCTTCTTATGTGGTGGCCAAAGTATTGGAGCCTCAGTGTAAGGAGTGTGTACAGGAGCCAGCCCTGTGACTGGTAGGGCCTTGCAGGTCTGGGGCCTTCCTGAGTTTGGCCTGGAAGGGCAAGGTGCGGCTGCACAAGGTGAGGCTTGACAGAAGACTCGTAGTACCTGGTGGTAAGGGCCGGGAGGGGTATATAAGACCAGCATTTCCCTCTGGCTCTTTACCACAGCAACACACTACCCACCTAGCTGTGCTTCGGCTTCCTGACTCTTGGACCCTTGGCTTCCTGACTCTTGGCTTCCTGACCCCTGGACTGCTGATTCCTGCTTCCTGAACTCTACCCTGGTCCCGACGTACCAAGCCAGGGTTCCGACTGCCTGTAATCCAAACCATGACAGTTTGCTGTGGCCAACCTACGTCCTGGCCACGTTGCCAGATGGACAGAGCCCAGTCTACAGATCTCACCACGGTGCTGCAGAACCTTCACACACAGGTAGCTATGTTCCAGGTGGAGGTTCGAGCAGCCCCGGCTGCAGCCCCAGCTGCAGCCCCAGCCTGATGTGACCCCATTCAGGGGGGAGCGTGGGGCCCTTTGGGGTTTCGTGAGCCAGTGCTGGCCACCTGCGCAGCAGTCTGCACAGCAGACTTTCCCACTCCACGGAGTCAGGTGTGCTTCATGGTTAGCCTTCTCTCAGGTCTGGCACTTTCCTGGGTCACTCCGTATCTTGAGGCCAATGACCCCATGTTCAGGGAGCCCAGACCGCTAAGATGACCCTGTAGAACCTCCAGCAGGGCACTCGCCCGGTTACTGAGTACGCCACAGAGTTTTGTCAGTAGACTGCGGACACCCTGTGGAATGAAGCTGCCTGTTGGTTCCACTTCTGCCAGGGACTTCATCCACGCCTCAAGGACGAGTTGGCGCAGGTGACCCCCCCCCCCAGCAGCCCTGACAGACTTTTTCACGCCTGTCCGAGAGGGATTCCGAGCGCCGCTTGAGGGGGCCCCAGGAGCCCAGTGCTGCGGTGGGGCTTGAGGAGGAGCCTATGCAAGTAGGTACCGCCCGCCGCTCTCTCCAGCCAGGATAAGGGTCAGAGGCAGGCCTTATGCTTGTACTGCAGAGAGGGAGGCCATTTCACAGCAGGGGGCCTGGCGAAGAGGTTCGCGTCAGGAAACAACAAGCCCCGGCTGTGCTAGGAGGGGCTCAGCCGGGGCCGAGTCACTGTGCACCCCATTTCCTGCTCCCTAGCCGCATTCTCCTTCCCCAGGGGGGCATGCTGGTCCTGGAGGCAGTGATTGACTCCGGAGCCTCATGGACATCAGTTTCGCCAAGAAGTACCAGGTGGTAAAAGCATCACCTGTTCCACTGGTGGGCCTGGACGGGACCCCCCTCACATCGGGACTCATTAACCATGAAACCTGTCTGCTGGCCATGTTGGTGGCACCCTGTCACCAGGAACTGTTAACATTTGAGCTGGTCCAGACCCCACATTTTCCGGTGGTCCTCAGGAGCCTCTGGTTGGTCCGGCATGACCCCGCCATTTCCTGGGCACAGCGAACCCTGTGTTTCTCATCATCTTCCTGCCACAACGTCTGTGTCCAGCCCCCCATGTTGCCTCCATCACAGCCAGAACCCGCGCAGTCCCACTGACCAGCCCCCAGTTCTTCCACTTTGCATGGGACTGCCCCAGACGGGGCAGGGGCCACTGGATGCCAGCCTAATCCTGGAGCACTACCGGGATTTGGTGGATGTATTTGAGAAGAAAGGGGCTGAGGTGTTGCCACCTCATTGGACTTACGATTGCCCTATTGACTTGCAGCCAGGAGCAGATATTCCCTTTGGCCACATTTATGCCTTGTCGGCTCCTAATCTAGGGGCCCTTTGAGAGGAGCTAGACGACAACCTTGCCAGGGGGTTCACTCCACGTCCCCTGCTGGGGCCGCCATCTTCTTCGTTAAAAAGAAGGGCAGTGGGCTACATCCATGTATCTACTGCTGAAAGCTGAACCAGGTTACCATCAAGAATTGCTACTCCTTGCCATTAATTCCTGAATTGTTCATGAGGCTGAATTGTTCAAAAGGCTGGGATGAATGGAAAACAGTGTTCTGAACCCAGTATAGCCATTTTGAGTACCGAGTCATGCCCTTTGGACTGTGCAATGCACCGGCCACGTTCCAGCACTTTGTAAACAACGTTTTTTGTGACTTACTGGACCAGTTTGTGGTCGCGTACTTGGATGACATATTGATATTTTCAACGTCCCCAGAGGAGCATCGCCAGCATGTCCGTCTGGTCCTGCAGCACCTTAGGTAGCACCGGCTGTATGCCAAGCTGGAAAAGTGTGTGTTCCACCAGGAGCACATGGAGTTCCTGAGTTATATCATTTCCCCTGCTGGCCTCCAGATGGACCCCCAAAAGGTGCAGACAGTGCTGGACTGCAGCCCCCCCCCCCCCGGAATGTAAAGGGGGTGCAACGATTCATCGGGTTTGCCAACTTCCACCGCCACAGGGGTTTTTGCATGTGGTTGCCCCCATCTGCACCCTGGTCCGGAAGGACGCCATGTTCCAGTGGGCGCCAGCAGCGCAAGAGGCCTTCAAGCTCCTGAAGGAGGCTTTTACCTCTGTCCCCATCCTGGCCCATCCGGGTTAGGGTTAGGGTTAGGGTTAGGGTTAGGTTTTCAGCAGGGCAAAGCTGATCCATGTGTGTTTGTCAAAGAGGAGGGGCAAAACAAACTGTATTGTTTATGTTTTGTTGATGATCTTCTGATGTTTTGGAAGAATCAGGCTTTGTACCAAAGCACCCTAGCTCAGCTGAAGGAGCACTTTGACATGAAGGATCTTGGTGAGGTATCCAACTATCTTTCTCTGCAGGTGGAGAGGGACCAAGCAGGTAATTTTCTGGTACACCAAACACAGAAAATTGCTGATGTATTAACCAGGTTGAATTTGGTTGATGCAAACCCAGCAGACACACCAATGGTGACAGGTTACCAGGTAGATAGTACTGCTGAAGCGTTTTCTGACACTACGCTGTACAGATGCATTCTAGGCAAGATGAATTTCATTGCTAGATGCTCAAGACCTGACATAGCTGTAAGCACTAACCTGCTTAGCAGACATGCCAACAATCCTACTGTTCAGGATTGGAAAGCTCTGAAGTGCATAGCCCGCTATTTGAAAGGGACTTTGCACTACAGGCTGAGGTTCACCAGTCAGAAGACTGGAGGTCTTGAAATCTTTGCAGATGCTAGTTTTGGAAGTGACACCACGGATGGTACAAGCACTTCTGGAGTATGCTACATGTACAACCAATGTCTGTTTGACTGGCTGTGCAAAAAGCAGACGACAGTAAGCCTAAGTTCCTGTGAAGCAGAACTCAATGCTCTGTCATTTTCACTCATGCATTGTGAATGGTTGATGCAACTGTTTAAGGACATCACAGTTTCTGTGAAATGTCCTATACAAGTGTATCAAGACAATAGATCCTGTTTGGCTTTGCTGAACTCAGAGAGTTGCAAGCAAAGAACCAAGTACTTGCAGATTAAGCTACATCGTGCAAGAGAGTGTATTCAGAAAGGACTCATGCAGGTGTCCTACATGGCAGGAAATGAAATTCCCGCTGATCTGTTGTCTAAGGTTGTTAACAGAGAACAACTTAAGGTTTATGTACAGAGGTTGCAATTGGGTTGAACCACAGGTACTACAGGTTACACGGAAAGGGGGACAATGTTAGGATATTTCCGTTCCACCTTAAAAAGGGAGCAGGTTGTTGCGTCACAGCCTGCGTATTTCCTGTTCACAGGAAGTTTATGTTTTGTCTATTGCTTTCGTTTCTCTCTCTGTGCCTGAGACATCGAAGCAGGCAGTCATGTTTTTTCTTTGTTCTGATCAACGCTGAATAAAGTTGTAAATAATACTCTCCTGAGTGCATCTTTCGCTGTGCGAACTCTGCTGATAGAGCGTGCACGAGCTCTGGAATGTGGCAAGCTATTTCTTGAGGCTCGTGTCGCTAATTGACTGATACTGCGTTTCTACTAGAGATCGATGGATCGTCCGGCATCGACGTGGGGGCATGATGGCCTTTGTCCCCCTGGCAGTATCCCAACACTTTGTTTTTTTGATGTTGAGCTTCAGACCGTAAGTTGTGCTCTCCTCTTTCACCCTCATTAAAAGGTTCTTTAATTCCTCCTCACTTTCTGCCATCAAGGTTGTGTCATCTGCATATCTGAGGTTGTTGTTATTTCTTCTGGCAATCTTAATTCCGGCTTGGGATTCATCCAGTCCAGCCTTTTACATGATGTGTTCTGCATATAAGTTAAATAAGCAGGGAGACAATATACAGCCTTGTCGTACTTTCCCAATTTTGAACCAATCAGTTATTCCATATCCAGTTCTAACTGTTGCTTCTTGTCGCACATAGAGATTTCTCAGGAGACAGATGAGGTGATCAGGCTATATGCTTTTAAATGTGCTTGTGAAAGGTAGTGATGGGCATTATTGGTTTGTTTTGTTTTCGTTCTTCTTTTCATTATGTATTTTATGTTTTGATCTTCTGTTTTTATGCTGTGAACCACCCTGAGAGCTATGGATAAATACAATATGATTCAGTTGTAGGTTCAGAAGAAGCAACCCATATGATCAGGGGGCTGCAGCAGTTCTTACATGAGGAAAGGCCATGTCAGAGGCTTTTTAGTTTGGGGGGGGAGAAGCAAACAGCGGGTGGTGGGAGTGGATATGATTGAAATTTACCAAAAATGATTTATGGTGTGGAGAGAAGTGTTTTTAATTTATCTGACATAATGCTGGAGTCTGGGGTCATCTAATGAAATGGACAGTGGATCCAAGACCAGAAAAAGGAAGGACTTCTTCACCCAGCATATATGATTTATGAACTTGGCTCCCACGTGAAAACGCCATCAAAAATGAGTCCATCAGTGAGCACGAGGCATGATGACTCTATGTTACTTCTAGGTTCAGAAGCAGCATGCCTTTGAGTTGCCAGTGGCTGGCAAGCACAAATGAGGAGGGTGCTCTGGTGCTCAGATCCTGCTTTGGGGCTTGCCCCGGGCATCTGGTCAGACACTATAAGAACAGGGGGGTGTTGAATTAGACGGGCCTTTGATCTGGTCCAGAATGCTCTTCTTACATTTAAGTTTCTGTGTCCCAACTTCACTTCATTGGTGCCACTCCTAGGAGTTGAGGAGTTTGCAATATAATGATACCACATCTAGAAATGCACTGAATAGCCTAATTCTGTTTCATTCTAATTTTGCTGCTGCTCAGTCTTAGGTTTTTCATCCTGTTTTGTGCAGATGTTTTGGAGGAATGCATGAAAAATCTCTATTTAAATTACACATTTTGCATGTATTTGTTATTTTAAATGTACATTTTCAATGTTTTTCAATGAACTACAGTTTTAAACCTAAAATACATATTTTCAGGCACAAAGACTGCATCACAAAATCTGGATAAGTATATAATCCAATTTGGAGTCACATTCTGATTTCTTTTGGAGTGTTGGAGCAAGCTGGTCTGTTGCAAAAAGCAAATTCCTCCTCTATTCCCAATCCCATCACAGGTTTTATATTGCTGAGAAGATAAGAAGATGCATGACTGTTGCATTCAACAAAAACCATGAATGTGACATGACACCGAGTTCCAGCTTCCCAGAATAGAGAGAGAGAGAGCAGATAAAAGCCAATGGCGTTAAAGCAATATTCTTGAGACTCATACTGCTAGGGAACTGGCATTTGCCTGAACCTGAAAAGATGTCCAAATAGGCCCTAGACCTCCATCCCCTTCCAGTGCCTCTGGGATAATGCTATGGGTTAGGTCAATGGCCCATCTAGTCATAGAATCATAGAATCATAGAGTTGGAAGAGACCACAAGGGCCATCGAGTCCAACCCCCTGCCAAGCAGGAAACACCATCAGAGCACTCCTGACATATGGTTGTCAAGCCTCTGCTTAAAGACCTCCAAAGAAGGAGACTCCACCACACTCCTTGGCAGCAAATTCCACTGTCGAACAGCTCTTACTGTCAGGAAGTTCTTCCTAATGTTTAGGTGGAATCTTCTTTCTTGTAGTTTGGATCCATTGCTCCGTGTCCGCTTCTCTGGAGCAGCAGAAAACAACCTTTCTCCCTCCTCTATGTGACATCCTTTTATATATTTGAACATGGCTATCATATCACCCCTTAACCTCCTCTTCTCCAGGCTAAACATGCCCAGCTCCCTTAGCCGTTCCTCATAAGGCATCGTTTCCAGGCCTTTGACCATTTTGGTTGCCCTCCTCTGGACACGCTCCAGTTTGTCAGTGTCCTTCTTGAACTGTGGTGCCCAGAACTGGACACAGTACTCCAGGTGAGGTCTGACCAGAGCAGAATACAGTGGCACTATTACTTCCCTTGATCTAGATGCTATACTCCTATTGATGCAGCCCAGAATTGCATTGGCTTTTTAGCTGCCGCGTCACACTGTTGGCTCATGTCAAGTTTGTGGTCAACCAAGACTCCTAGATCCTTTTCACATGTACTGCTCTCAAGCCAGGTGTCCCCATCTTGTATTTGTGCCTCTCATTTTTTTGCCCAAGTGCAATACTTTACATTTCTCCCTGTTAAAATTCATCTTGTTTGTTTTGGCCCAGTTCTCTAATCTGTCAAGGTCGTTTTGAAGTGTGATCCTGTCCTCTGGGGTGTTAGCCACCCATCCCAGTTTGGTGTCATCTGCAAATTTGATCAGGATGCCCTTCAGTCCATCATCCAAGTTGTTGATAAAGATGATGAATAAGACCGGGCCCAAGACAGAACCCTGTGGCACCCCACTAGTCACTCTTCTCCAGGATGAAGAGGAACCATTGATGAGCACCCTTTGGGTTCGGTCAGTCAGCCAGTTACAAATCCACTGAGTGGTAGCATAATCAAGACCACATTTTACCAGCTTCTTTACAAGAATATCATGAGGCACCTTGTCAAATGCCTTGCTGAAATCAAGGTAGGCTACATCCACTGCGTTCCCTTCATCTACCAGGCTTGTAATTCTGTCAAAAATGAGATCAGGTTAGTCTGACATGACTTATTTTTCAGAAATCCATGCTGACTATTGGTGATCACAGCATTCCTTTCTAGGTGCTCACAGACTGTTTGCTTAATGATCTGCTCCAGAATCTTCCCTGGTATTGATGTCAGACTGACTGGGCGGTAATTATTTGGGTCCTCTCTTTCCCCCTTTTTGAAAATAGGGACAGAAAATAGTCCAGAATCCTAGTTTCACAGTGGCCAACCAGATGCCTGTTGGAAGCTGGCGACCCAGATCCAAGCAAAAGAGCACTCTCCCTTTCAGGAGCCCAGGCTGCCGTCTTGATAACACAGCACGCAAGTTGAAATTAGCTAGAAGATTTATTGCATTTCTGGGTTTGTTTCCTGTCTAATACATTTTCCATACGTCTACTCTTTGGGCTCAGGGGATTAATTGCTGCCTCTTCCGGTGAGGAAATGCTACCCCCTCCTGCTTTCTGAAGCTGCCTGTGCTTCTTGAGCAAGCTGACTTCTCTCCCTTCCACTCTCTGCTAACGCTTTATCTATTGCTTGTCTTCCAGTAGGAATGTGTACACGCTCAAAGTTCAGGAACCATTTTATCCCTCTATTACTGCCTCCAGCAGTGGCACTTGAAAGGGTGTACAGAAGAGAAGTGGCACCCTCCTGGCAGTGGTGCTGGGCTGGAGATGTGGTAGCAGCAAGACCTGGGGATCCCCTGCGTTGCCTCACCCCTGCTCCATCCCTGTCCCAGAACATAGCTTCTGTGAGGCTGTGGCTGCCACTTCATATGCACACCCTCATATGCTGCCCTGTTCCCCCGCCCCTGGATTTGAAGACACATTTCTCTGAAGAGTCTTTGGATGGGTCTTTCCTGGATGGGTCTGAAGAGCTTTTTGGTTCACAGCACAGCCTAAGATAGATTCTGGAACTGAAAGAATTAGAAGGAGACTGTTATAATATGCACTTGAGCTCAGGGCTGGCCCACCCATGAGGCAAGGTAGGGGGCAGCACATTTGGCTTCCAAAGACTAGGAACATGTGAATGTTCCTTCCTTTGTTTCTGATATAGCTCTCCACTCCCCACCTTGTTCCTGATGTAGAGCTTCACTCCCTCCACTTCCCTTCTTTCCAGGTTGGGGGTAGGCAAAATTTTGTGGTTTTCTTCAGGTACCAAAATGTCTTGAGTCGGTCCTGCTTGAGCTCATGTTTGGTCTGGGCAAAATCACAACACATTTTCAAGCTTGTTTGTGTTCCCCTCCCAGTCCCATATTCCTAAATAGGTATACTTGATGAACTTTTGAGGGGTTTTTTTTAAAAAACTTACTTAGGTGGCTTCCTGCTTGTGGAATGCTCTTCCCAGGAAAGCTTGCCTAGTGTCTTTACTACATATCTTTAGGTGTCAGGTAAAAACATTTCACTTTTCCTAGGCCTTTGGCTAATTAAAAAAATCTGTAGCATTTTAAACTGTATTTGTGGATTATTGTATTTGTTTTTTACTATGTTATGGAAACCCATATGGGCGGGGTATAAATTATGATGATGATGATGTATTTTTATGTTTCAAACACCTCTGTGATCTTCAGATGAGGGTCAGTATAGAAATTTAATAAATAATAATAATAAAGTAGTACATTAATTTTTTTAAATTGGCATAAACTAAGTGCTCCACCTGACCTTTTGTACTGGGAATGTCAAAGAGAATTATTTTCACTAATCATGGATGCGTCCAAGTGTCTTGGAAAAAATGGGAACAGTGTTAACAATATTACTAAAATGTCTGATTTACAGCTCCTCCTTGACCACTTGGTTTTGATGACTCATACAAGGTTTGGTGAATGGATTTCTTATGATTGCAACATCCTGAATAAGAAATAAAAATATTAGACTCTAGCTGACCTTAACTCTCTTGGAGAATGGGAAAATACATTATTATCCCCAAATTAATAATCAGTTAACATCAGAAGACGGGTGAACATGCTGTTGCTGCACACCCCAATCTCTGAGCACTGCAAGATTTCCAGTGGTTCCAGGAACTTTACTCAGAGTTGGTGCTTCCTTTTGGGAATGAGGCACAGCAGAGACTGTGGTGTCTTTATGTGTTTATTTACACATATATACAACCTAATCCTACAATGGAGGGGTTCACAACATAATCACTCCAAGAGGGTCTTGCTTCCCCCACAGCAGTAGATTCAAAACAGAATCAACCATCATGCTCTCATGGCTCTAGCTTGCCGCCTTTACCCAACTGTAACCTTTTCCCTTCAACTCTAAAAGCTCACCTCAAACTCTGCCTTTGTCTTCTAACTAACTCTGAGTTGAGGGAGGGGCTCATCCCATTTGCCATGTACCACAGAGCCCCATCTCTTTCCTCATGGTACGTCACCTTTTGTTCTCCTAATGGCCCATGACCCCAGGTGATTTCCTCATCACAAAACTGGCCTGGCTTATATTTTAACATTTGCTGAATCCAAAGGTTCAGTATCTGGCACCCAGATATTCACAACAGGGGAGTCTGAAATTCAGTACACAGGGGAGTCTGGCACTCACACACGCATAACAATACAATACAATAGATTAGTGAAAACTAGAATATATTTTATTAATCATTGATTTAAACATGAGTTGATGTTTAACATAATTGCTATAGTGCAATAGTCACAATTTAAAGACATGGTCCATCTTCATCTATATAAAAGCAACAATTTGCACACATGACACTGGAAACATTTCGGAATTCAAACTGATTGAATTTCAAACCAAAGCAATAAAGCACATCTGCCCCATTTTTTCTAAAAGATTATTATTTTCGGGGGTAATTTGAATTCCTGCAGCATTTATTAATAGCCACAAGTTTATTCTATGAGCTTCATGCTTCATGCAGAGAACTGACTAATATATGAAAAAGAGGTCTGTAGTGCAATAATAACTCTAGCAGATGAATAATTATAAAAGCTAATTGGGATTTAAAGGCACTAATTTAATACTTCTGTGCTGCTAGAAAGAGGCTGGAATAGTTCCATCATGATGAGATTTAAAGTTCTCAGCTTTCTTTTTTGTTGAAAGGGGGAAATAGTTATCTTGATTTGTTTAAGTATTTTGATCACATTTTGAAAATCACTGAATCTGTAATGGGAGTGCCTGATCACCTTATCTGTCACCTGAGAAATCTCTATGTGGGACAAGAAGCTACAGTTAGAACTGGATATAGAACAACTGATTGGTTCAAAATTGGGAAAGGAGTACGGCAAGGCTGTATATTTTCTCCCTGCTTATTTAACTTATATGCAGAATTCATCATGCGAAAGGCTGGGCTGGATGAATCCCAAGCCGGAATTAAGATTGCCGGAAGAAATATCAACAACCTCAGATATGCAGATGACACAACCTTGATGGCAGAAAGTGAGGAGGAATTAAAGAACCTTTTAATGAGGGTGAGAAAGGAGAGTGCAAAATATGGTCTGAAGCTCAACATCAAAAAAACGAAGATCATGGCCACTGGTCCCATCACCTCCTGGCAAATAGAAGGGGAAGAAATGGAGGCAGTGAGAGATTTTACTTTTTGGGCTCCATGATCACTGCAGATGGTGACAGCAGTCACGAAATTAAAAGACGCCTGCTCCTTGGGAGAAAGGCGATGGCAAACCTAGACAGCATCTTAAAAAGCAGAGACATCACCTTGCCAACAAAGGTCCGTATAGTTAAAGCCATGGTTTTCCCATACATTTCCCATGTATGGAAGTGAGAGCTGGACCATAAAGAAGGCTGATCGCCAAAGAATTGATGCTTTTGAATTATGGTGCTGGAGGAGACTCTTGAGAGTCCCATGGACTGCAAGGAGATCAAACGTATCCATCCTTAAGGAAATCAGCCCTGAGTGCTCACTGGAAGGACAGATCGTGAAGCTGAGGCTCCAATACTTTGGCCACCTCATGAGAAGAGAAGACTCCTGGAAAAGACCCTGATGTTGGGAAAGATGGAGGGCACAAGAAGAAGGGGACGACAGAGGATGAGATGGTTGGACAGTGTTCTCGAAGCTACAAACATGAGTCTGACCAAACTGCAGGAGACAGTGGAAGACAGAAGTGCCTGGTGTCACGAAGAGTCGGACACGACTAAACGACTAAACAACAACAACAAAATGTACTCATTTCTCCCCCAGTCTCAGGCTGCATTCAGTCTTCACATGCACATGGGGAAAGGGAAAAACAACAACAAAGAAACAGTCTTTGTGATTGTGTTGTGCCTATGGTTGCAGCAAGTCTCTTTTTTGGTGTGGTGCAGGAGCTGAATGACATGGCCCCCAAACAATCTTGATAACTATATGTACAATGACACCAAGACCTACATGCAATCCTACATGTGACCTCATTGAGGTTGCTCTTTTATTTACTCCTCTTTTTTGCAGTGTTTTGTTAAAGTGCAGTGGGAAGATACAAACAAGCAGGAAACATTGAAATGGTCCAGCAAGCTGTTTATGCCATAACACTGGATTTAATTTGAGAATTTAAAAGGAAATTTTGCAGAGGGGGGTTGGTGGTCACATGGCTAAAAGTCCTGCAGGCAAGGAACCTGAATGGAAAGGGCATTTTGAAGATGTTGGACCCCCATCCCCAGGTAATTTGAACATTTAATATACCAGTTCTCCCCCTCCCCAGGGGAGTGAAGCATTTCACAAAAACAGTGTGTGGGCTTTGCCACAGCATGGCCACTAAGCTTATCATTTGGTTAGGTTTGTGAAATGTGTACCTCACTTCCCACTAAGTAAGTCCCAAAGCAATTTAGAACAAAAAATGTAAATGTTACAATAAAACCACAGAAACATGATTGAAAGCGGATTTAACTATGCAATAATATATATATTATGGTGCTGCCCCAAAGCTCTGGAAAACAAACAGCTCTCAATAACCAAAATGATGACATGGTTGGCGCCAGGTTAGCCTCCCTGGAGAGAGCATCCCATAAAAAAGGGGCTACTACAGATAAGGCCTGTTCTTTGGCCCACCTCTCTCCAGAGAGCCCTCAAATTTTGTGCTTTCATTCCTGTTGCAAATGAGTAAGAAGCTTCTTCCTCCCCCTTTTTTTTGCAGCCTGAAGAACCAGTAGGAGGTCATCCAAGACAGTGACATTTTACCACCACAGTTTCTTCTCCAAAGAAGAGCTATGTTGACTATGACTAGGAGGCTTTCCGGGACAATGAGCACTTCCTGTGTGGCATCATTAATGTGTAGCTAATCTTTGCTTTGGACAATGAATGGATTTTAATTTTATTTTTATTTTGTGGTGCATAACAAGATTCAGATGGATTTTTTTACCCTTGGAGATAAGTCTATATATATTCAACATTAAATCAAGAGAGTATGTTTAAAAATGTAAAATATATCTTCAGAGACCATTGGAATAAAATATTTTTTTCTTTTTTCATATTTATTCTTAGATTTCTTCAGAGAGTATAAGATCCTATTAAATAGTCCATGATTGTGATGTAAGTAACGAGTCTTCAGCAAGAAATAAACATGATGTCTTCACCACATTCTGCATACTTCTTGTCATCTGCACTGAGAGGGGGAGAAAAAAAATGGCTCTTGACCTTTGGAATGTAGACTGGAGACAGGTAGAAAAGATTTGGAAGTAGATGGAGAGAAGCATCACTTCCTGTAGTACATACTGGAGTCATGCCCCCTGGTGTCCTTCTAGAAGTTGTTGGACTTCCATCAGTCCCAGGCAGCATGACGAACCATCATCAGGTATGATGGAAAATTCAATCCAACAACATCTGGAAAACCACAGCTTTGCCATCCCTATCAGCCCCCTGCTCCCCCCGAAACACTGTGACTTCTGGTCAAACAGGATATTGAAGGTGTTGGAAACACTGCAAAAACCTACTTACACTTTTTCCATCGAAAACAGAAATAGGAGTGGAAATGGCTGAGGTTTGCTTATTTGCTCCATGAATGGGAATCTAATCTGTCCATACAGTCGTTCTCTGCTTCTGTTGTTGCTTTCAGCCCACAAACAATATACGCAGTAACTTATTATGGACACTGCTTTGTGTTTCCTTTGCATTGAGTTTAATGGAGTGGAATGATTTAATGACAATATAACTTAACTACATGATTAAGTAAGATGTGATTTTGCCACAGCAGCAGTGAGATGAAGAAGTAAGTTTCTGGCAAAAGACAAACTGCAGCAGAACGGAAACACTGCTGCATGTGACAAATACAGTTCAAAACAGAAAACAATGCATTCTTACATCACTAAGCAGTGGTGAACCTGGGATGTGTGTACACTATATGAGCAATGCCCCTATTTCTCAAACCTTCAAACCTTTTTTAAAGGTATTTATTACCTTTCTCCAGGGGGTGCACTTACAGGCTCCTCCAGAATTTTGCACAGCAATGGAAACAACCACCACATAACAATTGCTAGCAGTTAGGGATGCAAGATGCATAGCCAGCCCCAGAGAAATGTCAATAGACTTATTGAAACTCTCTTGGCTTCTTTTGAGCTTCTCAGATGTTTCACCTAAGTAGTGACAAGAGACTTATTTGCCACATGAGGCAACATTGTGCTACTCTCCATATAGCCAGCTGTTTCCAGAACAGACTCAGAACTTACTAGAGCCAGTGAGATCTGGATTTATTGTTGAAACAATACCACTCTGGACTCTGGACCCTGGACTCTGGTCTAGATTCTGGCAAAAGCAGAACTCTCCACATCTCTATCTTCAAGCAGTGTAATATGAAATACTGTAAATGTTCTGGAATTTTGCATAATTTATAAATGCAGACATATATTCCAAATTGCTTGATTCTCCTGTAATCATTAACTGAGTTAAAGGAAGGAGACTTTAGGGTCAAGGGCCCTCTGCCACCTTCTTTTGGAATTTAGAGAATTGATGGGTTACAATGTGCTTCAATGGTTGTCCTCCTAATTAAAAAAAATCAGCAGACAAGGTCACAGGAACCCAAAAAGCCATGGAAATTTTAAAAAAAATGTTTTATATTGAGCATTTTGACAGAGCAATCCTAATTATAGAAAGCTGTCGTAACTGATGCCAGTTTAAGTTCTCTGTTTGGGAGGAATTTGACACACCACCATTTTTGCTAACTTCTTCCACTGGGTTGCTAGGTCACATGTAAATTCTGCCAGCTGAACAAGTGACACAGGCAGGAAAGCCCAAGAGGCCAAGATCCACCAAAACCAAGCTCATCTTGGCAGATTTTAGGTTTGAATTGGGCTGTAAAATGAACATGTTTTACATACATACATACATACATAGAGATAGAGATATATCAACAAGCAGAAATGATTGCCACAATTGCAAAACAATTACAATTTATCTAAATACCTGAAATATTGGATCTCCAGATGCAACTGTTCAACTTATGTATTTGCATTGCTCTTGGGAGTTCTTGTGACTTTGTATATTGCTTTTCTTACTCTTAGGGACCTGCTTTGTTTTAGTTGCCTTTCTAATAAGGCAGCTGCTTTCCATGAAACAAGGGGATGCCCAGAATTTCACTGTAATATCCCAGTGCTGATTCATCCTTGCAGGCATAACAGGCTTCTGAAAGTGAGAGCAATTGTGTGCAGGGTTGTTTTTTTAAAGCACTTAACCTAGGGGGAAATGCAAGAACATCTGTACTTCAAAAGCAGGTAACATTAAGCAGTGGAGTCTCCTCCATCCCAAGGATAAGGTGCCAGATTTTAAACAGTCCATTTAAAACTTTAAAGGAGTACAGCACACTTAAAAAGAAAACATTCTGGACACATGTTTTTAAACCCATTTAAGAACTTCTGGCAGCAAGGGAGACATAACATGAAAAATTAAAATCAGGATTGCTGCCAATGTTTCTACTTGTACAGTGATTGCCAATGCCATCCAAGGGAAGTGAACTTATTAGACCTGCTCAACTTTGCTGAATGCTTTGTTGGAGGCACCAAAGCAAAAGCAGTCAGGTTCTATCACAACATACAACAAACTCCCCTCATTGCCCAGAGCAATGAGCCAGACTGAACCAAAAGCTTTTACACAGGTCACCATACTGCTTTTCCTTCAATTAGCTGGAATCTGGTGGTTAATGTACTACTTAATCTCATCCTGAAGCTCATGCCCTGTTGCAGCAAGGATGGGAAACCCAAGGTCTGTACGCTCCACAGATGCTTTGCCTGCTGGAAGGCATCCTTGATAGAACTGTAAGAAAGTTTCTTGCCTGTCTGGATGAAGGAGGGGTGTGTGGGTGTGATTGTGGGTGCAAACTGAGCTTTTCATGGTTGGAAAAGAGCCTCCTATACAAAGGGGAAAGTAGCATCCACCTCCTTTTACTTCTGGTCCTGCCCACCACCAACATGTAGTTTCTGGAAGGTTCCCCATGAGGGAATGTGGCCTCCTTAATTGTTTAAACCAGGTCCAGCATCAACCTATGTCATCTTTGGGCAGCTGCCAGGGTCTCAGAAAATAGCCATCTTTGACACACACCTCTTTATTCTCTGGCATTATGCTCTGAGTGCTGAGTGGCTGAGACTGGGGGACCAGCAATTTTGATGTTCCTCCATGCCCCTGTGCAATGTGACTCCAGGGCACCATGAGAAATTGAAATCACTTGGTATCACTGTTACTGCCTGCCAGAGACGGTACTGCCAGGAAAATCCATAGCAACAGAGGGTTTATATATTGTATGGATTTTACTGTGTTCAATTAATGCAATATTATTGCAAAACCAATTTAAAAATTGAGGGGGGAAATAGTCAATGCCATCAAAGCTTCCTGCAAAGAAATCAAGATGAATGCTCAGTAAACAGACACTGTTCCTGGCAACTCTGAGACCACTGGTTGAGAATGTTTTAAAATGGTTTTAAAGCTTGTTTTTGTTTGTGGTTTTAGATGTTTTGTTATTGCTGTGCCTGTCACCTTGGGCTCTTTTGGCAGAAAGGGTGGGATACAAATAAAATTAATCTTAATGCCCTTCTCTAGCCAGGGAGGATGTGACCTCAAGAAAAACTTTCCCTTTCATAAACTAGAATAAGAGCTGTGTAAAGGTCACATTGTATAATATGGGAGAAGGGTCTTCAATCCTGCTTCCCCCTTCTGTCTTGCCACCAGGCCCCCTTTCTCTGGCTCCCTTCCTATGAGCCTCTCGCTCAGTCACTACAGCTCAGTCACCCAAGACTTCTATTTTCTAGAAAGTGATTTTGGAACCCTGCAGACAGACACATGACGGTCAAGTATAAGCATTTTTAAAGCAAGACTCCAAAAGGGTATAATCCCAAATGATTACTGATTTATTTTTATTTCCCTGCTGGTAAGTTACTCTTCACACTGCAGGAGGCAGCTCAGAAATAGGATAATGGTTCTCCTGTATTGTAGTACATCCTGGAGCACATTTGTAAATGGACAAAGACGAGCACACAGTCATCAACAGTTTTTGCTTTATCTCTTTTTAATGGGTGAAGTGAAGCAGAATGAAATTGAGTTCAGGCTTGCATAATGACACTTATGAAATTGCTTTGTATCAAGTCAGATTATTGGTGCATCTAGCACCAGGGCAGGAAACCTCAGGCCAGGGTCAAATGTGGCCCTTGGGACTTTTCCCCAGGCCAGACCTTCTTCCCAGCTGACCCCTTACCAGCCTTGCTTTGCACCCTCTTTGAGTGTCTTTGCCTGGCTGAAAAGGGTCCTTGATGCCAGAAGGACAGAAATTGCAAATGCTGATAGTTGATTTCACTCTCTTCAGTGCTATGGATTAGTAGATAAAACTGTTACAAAGCTATTGTACTACTAACTTTACACTTATGAAACATGGACCACTTATAAATGCCATCTCCAGCTCTTCGAAAAATTCCATCAAAGGTGTCACTGAAAATTTTTACATATCACTTGGGAAGACAGATGAATTAATGCCAGTGTACTGGAAGAAGCAAAGATCACCAGTGTTGAAACAATGATTCAACATCAACTTCGTTGGACTGGTCATGTGGTTGGGATGCCTGATTATCGTCTTCCAAAGCAACTACTCTATTCCCAACTTAACAATGGAAAGCATGATGCAGGGGGACAACAAAAGAGGTTTAAAGACAAATCTCAAGGCAAATGTCAAAAAATGTAGTATAAACACCAACAATTGGGAAACACTGGCCTGCGAGAGCTCCAATTGGAGAACAGTTTATACCAAAGGTGTCATGGACTTTGAAGATGCTCAAACTCAGGACAAAGGGGAGAAACATGCTAAGAGGAAGGCACGCTTGGCAAACCCTCACCATAATCAACTCCCGTCTGGAACCTATGTCCCCACTGTGGAAGGATGTGCGGATCCAGAACTGACATCCTCAGTCACCTGTGAGTTAAAACTGTTAAAACCCTGTTCACGGAAGACAATCTTCTTTTATCATTTTTATTAATTTTTCATTAATAACAATCCAATGTAAGCCACATTAATACAATACCAAATCATAATACAAATAAAAAAGCCAATTATCCAGTTCCAAATTAAACAATTTTGGATGACTTCCTGTGTTCTGATTATTCGGAGATGATGTTATTCCTTGGTCCTGCTCCAATCCTCTTAATTAATCCAAATACAACAGTTCCAATCTTAATCCTTTATTTTAACAGCCACTGATGTGATGACTTTCGTTTGTATTTAACTATTCCATCTCCATTAATTTGCAAGCGGAGTTTATATCCTTTCTGTGGGAAATATTTGTTTACATTTGTCCTTCCCTTCATGTTGTAATCAATCAATCAATTTCAGCATTCCGCCCCCCTTCAAGGGCTTAATTTTAATTGCGCTACAACCTCCCACCATTTTGCTTTTCCTAACCAAAAAATATCTGGTGTCTGACCATGGCTCCAGGCAGACTTTCAGCATTTTCTTCTTTGATGCTTTCTGATCTACTAACAAGCTGGTGTCTCGCCAAACAATAATAACTCAAAGTTAGCACCCTCTTTAGAAGGTAATGCCACCAATCCTCACAACACAGTCTATTTGTTCAAATAATCCATAAAAAAATATTAAGTTCTTGTTGATTCCCTCTTGCATTCCATTAATAGTTGTAATCCATTAATATTTACATTCCATTAGTAATTAATTCTTCGTCAGTGAAGGCTTGCTGAATCATAAAACAGCAAATATAATGTAAAAAGAGAACAAAGGCTTCACTTCATACCAATCCGGTTACGACGAAAATCCTCTTCAGATCAAAACCTTGGGACTCAGTGGCTGATTCATTTAGCAGGTTATCTTGTCTCCTTCATCCAGAACACACCTGTTTCTTAAGTCCAAATTTAAATCCATCTTAAAAAACAGAAGTATCTCCATTCATGATGGCTGCATTGAAGAGTTTCCAATATGTGCAGTGCTATACACTCAGCGTCCCTGCCCCCCATCAGAGCGAGAGGCAGTTATTGGACAATCTGTGAATGAAAACTCACCCCTTTGACCCGGGGGGGGGGCACTTGCAAGGATAATTACTCTCAAATTATCCTTAATTGGCTGCACAGCCGGTGTCCACTATCTTGGGACCCACTGTTTGCCATGGCGGTTAGCACCGGAAGTCCATGGAAAACAATCTTACTCAGCTATGAGGGATTGCCGAAGAAGAAGAAGAAGAAGAAGAAGAAGAAGAAGAAGAAGAAGAAGAAGGTGGTGCAGGAGCCAAGCAAGTCTGCTATGATCCAGGCTGCCTTTGGACTCAGCCTATAAGTAGCTTGATGTTTTCAAAATTCCTCTCCCTGAATCTTGCGCTTCCTTGTCATAACCCCCAAACACGTATGTTGTGTCAGCTTGACACTTTTTGTGGGATTGAAGAAGAAGAAGAAGAAGAAGAAGAAGAAGAAGACGTTATGAACTGATATTTGTCCATCACATTCATTGGGCAAGAAATTCTAAGCTCACTTCTGCCGGGTTGAGGAGCCAATGAATCTCTGGCTCACGTAGACCATGCCAGCATGAGGCCTCAACCCTGACTCTGCCAGAAATCTTTATTTTTATTATTATTAATATTTTATTAGAAGAATTTCATTTATCCAAAGAAAGTCTGCAGCCCATTCATATGTTCCTAATATTGTCATATTGTCAAGTAATAATTAAGGGGAATCATATCTCTATTCTTCTAGTTCATCAGTATCAATCTCTTAGCCACCATTAGGACATGTAGAATCCATTTTCTCTCCCATTGTTACATTCCATACAATAGTTATATAGTTCAAAAGAATGTTCACCTCTGAAAGTCTTAAATTCCTCTGTAACATATTATTTCTCCCAAACACTTTCTCCCAAAACTTAGTAAGTGCAGAACATTGTAAAACTTGCATTTCAAATAATAATAATAATAATAATAATAATAATAATAATAATAATAATTTATTATATGTACCCCGCCCATCTGGCTGGGTTTCCCCAGCCACTCTGGGCGGCTTCCATAAGAAGCATTATCCATATTACATCTCCAGCAAAGGGCTACATTAGATAGTCCTTTCTTATGCAAGTATAAAGGAGTCGAATAAATTCAATATAGTATTTTCTGCTGTAGAATTCTTTATTTAAGATCCATCGACACATTCAAAACTGAAGCTAAAACACTTTCTCACTGTCTGGGTAGTAATGAACATTCCAATCATTTTTTAAAGTCTGGTTATCAAACTTATTTATTGACAATACATATCCATAAAAAATAATCACTGACTTTTTAACATTTCAAATGAATTATCCAATTGCTCCAGTCTTTCTGGTGTCTCAGAAGCTGAGAAGGCTGTTGGACCAAACAGAGTTATTAAAAGTTGTTATAACTCAGCCAGTGGAATTTCTGCAGGCAGGCTCAGCTGTGGCTCAGCTGGCTGAGCTGAGCGTGGCAGATCCTAAACTGGTATAAGCCCTTAAAAATTTAGATTCTAGGAGAGTGACAGGGGTGGTGCAGAAGTAGGGGGCTTGCACTGGATCCCAAGTCTGTACAGCTTAGGCATGTGATCTGGCAACCTGGCCTAAGTCCACCTGGGAAAAAGGGTGGTGTAAATCAAAGTGTACAGTCAATGGCAAGGGCCTAATCAGAAATTGGGCCATGCTTCTCCTGATAGCCCTGCGTGTGCAGCTCCAAAGGAGAACTCAGAATCCAGCATAACTCCTGGTCGTTCACACAGCAGCAATATGTGGGATATAAGATGAACCTGCTCCAGTCACAGCTACTTTTTGCCTCCCGCAGTGTGGCATGGTGTCTAGGACCTTGCATGTTTGTGGGAGGAGATCAGGGCACCTGGAAAAAGGCACTTTGTACCCAGGGAACATGCTCCACAAACACTGGGCACCTTGAGCGCTTCCAAAATGGAGAATGGGGAGTAAAGGAGGCCTCCCTACTAACCTGTCTTTCCCAAGCTTTCCCCACAAATAGAAACATGGCAGCAGCTGCACCTTGCACACCCAGAAACACCAGCAACCACCCACGAGGAGGAGGAGGAGCCACAGAGCCTGAAAATAAGGTCAATTCAGGAGAGAGGGTCCTAAATGGAAGGACCAACAACACTCCCATCCCTAATATAGTGGGCTTACGACAGCAATGAACCTCCCTGCCCCAAGGCTGCTCTGCAGCATCCAGAAGAGCTACTCCTTTGTGAGGAGGCCTCCCAGCAACACCTCCCAACCCTGCGTACTGCAAGAGTGACAAGCACTTTTCAGGGGCTCAGGCACCATGGCTGCCAGGGAGGCATGTGCAACCAGCAACTTTCATTGTCACCCCACTTTGCAAGTGCCATGCAGACATGGAGGAGGCAGTCGCTACAGGTCAGACAGCAGAGGATAGGATCAACTGCTACTCCCAGGACATTCATCAGGTGTGCCAACTCCAGGGGCCGAGGTGTCTTTGGCCCCTCAAGATCTATTGGCAGGGGCCCAGCCCCCTCAATGTTGAGGGCGCCTTTGTGCTGGTGTATCCCTTTGACAATTGCCAGAGGACCTTCCAGGAAGGCGCATTGGCAAACTCCATTGGGATGCAGCGGGGCGAAGCACATAGACAATCTCAAAGAAACATGCCAAAGCGCTTTGGCAGGCTTCGTGGAAAAGGAGGACGCAGCTTCATCAGGGGGATGGCGGGCCTAGTTGGCCTGGGCATCATATGTTGCATGTGTTACGTCATGCACGTGCAATGCCCCCCCCCATGTTGGGTGCAACTCTGACACTCTGCTCTGTGATTTCGCTTTGCAGGATCTGGGCCACATTATAAGCCTAGGGAAATGAAAATGTCTCTGATGCCTACCTAAAAACCACCAGCAGGACAAACTAACTTGCAAGAGAGTTCTATAAATTGGGGCTGACGCTGCCAAGGCCCTGCTTTGTGTTCCCACCATCCACACCTTTCTTGGCGTCAGAAGACAGCAGCCTTGGGTGATCACCATAATCGTCAGTACTTCAAATATTCTGGTCCTAAGCCACATTGGAACAGCGCAGCCAGGTGCCCAGCTTTGAAGGCTCTTTTGGGGATAGCTGACATGGTGCCTTCCAGATGCTGCCATGACCATTGGCCATGCTGGTGAAGGTTGGTGGGAGATGGAGCCCATCAACATCTGGAGGGCACCATACTGGCCACTAGTGCTTTATTTGAACATCAGGTTTCATGATGGAGAACCAGAGAGAGAGGGGGGGGGCTTGAAGCTGCCCAGCAAAATTTAGCAGGTGGACAGTATGCAAGTCACCTAGTCACAATCTTCGCCAAATTTCGTACAGCTCTATGTCCTCTTATTGAGTGGCACATTTCCTCCTTTTTTGTTACTCCTTCTGTGTAAGTAGAACAGAATGAGGTGTATCCACTGCTAGTCCTGCTTCGACACATTGAAATTAATAGACATGGCTAATCTAAGTTATTGTTTTCAATGGGTGCAACCAAATGACATCCAGTGTTACTATGACATTTCATGACATTGCCAGTGTGGCCTTTTATTGGATTTGTTTGCAGAAGTAGAGGGCAGTCACTGAAATGAGCCCTGGGACCTGAAAGGTGGCAAATCTCACATGAACTGTCTGCGTGTAATCTTTTTTTTTTTTTAAAGGTAATGTGTGGAAACCCAGTGCAGTATGGGAAATGTGGTGCTAGAAGAGGCATGCTTTTAAGGGAAAAAACAAAAACATCACAGAATATGCAGTACAAAAGCCTTTGAACCAGATAGAAGCAGAATTGGGGTGCAGGATTCACTCTATAATCCTCTCCATCTCACATGCCCATTTGTAACAGTTGGGAAAGTGCCCTGTGCCATGAAAAGAATGCCTTCCTTGTTTCCAGTGATTTCATGGGCACTGGCCTAGAGATACCAGCAAGAGCTGTGTATGTATCATTGCTCTTATATTTTGAACCTCACTGTACACTGTACACCATGATACTTTGAATATTCAAAGCATTATTGACAAATAGAGGAGCAGTTCTTAACCAGTAGCCTGCCTTTATCCCAGATTGCTACCTAGGTGATGGGGAACAAAAACTGAGGGCTCATGCCCACTTTCCTTTGCCCCACGCTTTCTTGGCGCAGATCGCACCACTTTCCCCAGGAACACACACACTTTGGTTTTCTGTCAATTGCTGTTTGCTCTGATTCTGTTTTTAAGAGTGGGTTTTCACGGAGAAAGTGCCAGGGCAAAAAAATCACACAGGGACCTGGAAAGGCCAGACCTGTGCCTCGAAATGCGGCGCAAAGGTAAAGCATATTTAGCCACTCTATGGCAGAAGTAAGAAACCAAGGACTTCCCTATGGATTTTGTGCAATCAGCTGAAGAACCATGTTGTTTTGAACATGCTGCCGCCAAGGCAGGTTGTAAATTTAATATGCCAGTAAATGTAATAAATACTTGCATTTCCTGGATGTTGATTCTCCAGGATTTCCATTTCTCATGAGCTCATGTGTGTCAAAGAGAAGTGCAAGAGAATAAGAGAAGCTGAGATACAGCCCTGGGTCCTCCCCGTCTGCCAAAGTGAGATCTTTGCCCTTTGCTAGCCAGCAATGTTCTGGAGCATCATTAGGCCTTTGATCTCAAATCCTTGAAAGCCTGAGCTGTGCAAAGGCTTCCCAAGCCCAGCATCACAGGCCAAATGTCCTAATGAGAACTCACTGACCCCCAGGGTTCTTCTTTCCAGGCTATGCACTCTGTGGTGCATTCATGTTTAAAGCCATCACAATTCAGACTCAAAACTCTGTAAATATGTGTGGCCAGGTTCAAGAAAACTGTTTTACGATTATAAAATGCAATATCCCTCCATTTTTATGGAAAATGTCTCCTTTTTTGCATACACAATTCTCCCTCTAAACACAGGCCATCCACACATTGCTTGAACAAATTTGGGACACAGACTACCTGTTCTGCCCAACCCCCACTGAAATATTCATTAGGAACATAGGAACCTATTATGGAGCCTATTATGTTCCATTAGCTCAGTACTGCCTATACCAACTGGCAGCAACTCTCCAAGGTTTCATACAGGGCACTTTCCTAGTTCTAGTTGGAGATGCCAAGAACTGAACCTGAGATCTTCTACACACAGAGCAAATTTACTGCCACTGAGCCCCATTGTGAACACTTCATGTTTCTTAAGAAATTAGGCTTCTTTGGGGGACCACCTCAGTGGTAAGATGGCCATGTGTCCTTTACAGAATACAATCCTCTCTCTGGAGATCTGTCAGATGGCAGTCCTCTATTTTAAGGAATCCTTTTTCAGAAGGGGCTCCCTAGGTGGGGAAGGCCACCACTATCCTAGCAGCAGGTGGGCCACTATTGCTTTTCAGGAGCGAGCTATGCTTGCACAGCATCAGCTTCTGAACTGCCTGGTCCAAGCTCAGTTTGAAAAAAATGAGGGAATGCTGTAGGTAGCAGGAGAGGATATATTGATTAAATATTATACTTCCTAAATCACGCTAGTGAGTTTATTCATACATCAGAGTACATTCTCCCTTTTACACAGCAGGAAGCTAGTTGCAGATTCGTCAGAATCTCTTAAATTCTATTATTCCTGGTGAGACCCCTTTGATTCCCTCCTAAAAGGATAAAGACACAACAGTCTTCTTTTAAAAGTAATAAGAAGTTTACTCACATTCAGTTCACAGTTGGATACCTGAAGGCAGGCTTTAGCTTAAAGTTACAGAAGAGGGTTTGAGTTCATCCCATATGGGAACTCATCCCACATGCTGCTGGCTGAGAGCCAGCAGTGCAGTCCAAGAGAAGAAAAGGCATCAAAAGAGGAAGGTGGACTGGACATTTTGTGGGGTCTGGAAGGGTCACGCTCACCTACCTGGTCCCATGCAAAGGAAGGATGCTCCAGACCAGGTGTAACAGGAAGTTCAGCTGGCTGGATCAACATTCCCCTGCATGTCCACTCTAGGCAAACAGGAAATGTTGTACAGTGGTACCTTGGTTTACAACCATAATCCGTTCCAGAGGTCTGTAAACCAAAACATTTCGCCAATGGGGCCTCAAAAAAAAAAAAAGTGGGTTGTAATCCAAAAAAAAAGGGACCCGCACTTCCGGGTTTGACATGGTTGTAATCCAAAACAGTTGTAATCCAAAATGGTTGCAAACCAAGGTACCACTGTATTTGACTGCTTATGTTACATCCCACAAAAAACCCATAACTTCTTTGTTAAGTAGGTGCCTCAAAGTTGCCCATCAACAGTGAACCCCTGAACAGCAGAAGAGTGAGCAGGCACAAGGGTCATCTTGTCACAATCTTTCCTACAATTAGATGTATTAGATTTCTGTTTAAATTATAATGTGTGTGTTAGCACTACACACTTGACAAGTCTGTATTGCAAAATTCAGAGATGCACAAAACCACGTGGACAATTCCATTCTAGGGATGGGGAAGATATCTCATTCAGTTCACATTAAAAGGTGAATTTACCTAATTCACACTTTCTAAAACAATATGTGAACAGAAACACAGTCAGCCCTCAAAATCTGCACATCTCCTAATTTTGCAATGCAGATCTCCAGCTAATTAAGACATGCAAAAATCATTAGTACTGACAGTGCATATACATGCACATACTAGCGAATATAAAATACAAAAATTCATTATATTAGGGGGAAATGCTTTGTAAAAATGAGTATATTAAGCAGCTGCATACAAAAAATGTGTATAAAGAGAAATCCACACCATGGCTGATGTTGAAATGTGGAGAATGGAAGATTGAAAAAATGAGAAACTTAGAGAAACAGAAATTTTCCCATCCCATCTTCGTTCCATGCTGAACGTTATTTTGGGATGTGCGAATCTGGTTGGTTTGCTTAAAAATATGGACCAGACTTAGACCCCATCCAGGAAGTCTGCGTCTCTTTTCAGGGGCTCCTGACAGGTAAGTTTGGCTCCAAACTCCACAAAGAAGTTTTTGCCTTAGTACAACTTAGCAGAAATAATAACTCCCTCTTATTAGCCACCCACATCTTGCCGCTAGGAAGACAGAGAACTCCACGGCCACAGTAGATGAAAGTAACTCCAGCGTGATATATTATGATGTTGCTTCCCTCCAATGATTAATTTCTTTTTGGTGACTATTTTAAGCAGTTCATCTTTGTCAGTTTCCTGCTGCATCCACTTAATTAGCAACTCCTGACCTTTAAAAAGCACATTCCATAAATCCAAAGAATGTGAAAATTGAGTTTGATCTCCCCTTCTGGCAATTGCTAGCAATTTGCCAGGCCTGGACTGAACTGGCCAATGATGGCAGTCCAAGTATCTGGCCGCACATTCCTCTTCTCTTTTGGCAATATCAGCTTCCTGCTGGGAAAAGACAAGATCCTTTGGATGATCCAGGCAAGATGTTAGTCTAGTCTGTGGAATAAAAACCAATAAACTATTAGCATTGATTACTGACCCAAAGGGAGGGTAAAAAGAACACTTTTCTGTCCCTCAGTGGTATAACTGGGGTAGGGCAACAGGGTTCCTTTGCCATGCTGGAACATACACTGTAGCACCAAAGTGAGCATCAAAGAGATGGAATGTACTTGCAACAGCATCATTTATAATCTAGGGCAGAGCTTTCCAAACTGTGTGTCATGACATGTGTCAGCTGCAGTGTGTAGGTGTGTACCCGGTGAGGAATTTTTTTTTGTCCCCCCCCCCCCACACACACATTGAAATTATTAAAAGAAGGAAAAATAAGATACAATTGCAAGTGTTATTTTCTGGTTTATTTTCTTAACATTGTGAGCATAAGCACTTAAAACCTCCCCCCCCCCCGCCAAGTTTGTTCTCTGCAAATTTTGAAATCACATCATCAAAATCAATTCCTTTCACTACTTTGTTTTCAATTGACAAGATGTCTAAGTCAAAGGACTCATACTGGACCTAAGATAACTCTTGATTAATTTTAGTTTTGAAAAACTCCTTTCGCATGATGTCTAGCAATGTATTTTTTTTTTAATGATATTTATTGAAAATTTTTAGAATTACAAAAGAGAACAAAGCAGAAAAAGAGAAAGAAA